TGTAAAGAACATGGATGAGTTAAGCAAGCAGTGCGTTCTCATGGAAGAAACAGGTTTCAGAATCATCCAGACCTTGGTTCAGATCCAGCCATGTGGCCAGGACAGACCACTTCCCTTCTCTAAAACTCAGCATTTTCATCATAGAGCTAATGCCCTTTTGGGAAGATGGTTTTAGATTAGAAATACAAAACCATTTTGACACATGGTTTATGGTCAGTGAGTAATAGCTACTATTGCTACTACCCCACAGCTTGCAGACAGAGACACTGCCATCTTCCAGAATATACAGCGTTGGGCTCAATTAAAATTGTCCGAAACCAGGCGGACTGATCCTTCCTTGAGAGGCTGGCCACTGTCTCTGGCTTGACAACATGTTCAGTGCTGGCCTGCAGCCCCACTCACACCCGGCATAGCTCAGAAATCAGAGCGACACTGCTGGCTTCTGCCTAGGAGCCAGGACCAGGCAGTCCTGGGAATGCAGCTGCCATTCTGCCAGGCACCGTTCCGGGCATTGTGCATATATTAGCTCATTTAGTGCGATCCCTGGACAGGCCAAGACCCTCACCCCTTGGGCCTCCAGGTGAGCTGTGGGGCTGGGTGGGGCTGGCGTTCTTCAGGGCCCCCCCTCCAGGTTGTACTCACTGAGAATGGCCACAGGGCAGCAGAGGCGCACAGCCTGGTTCCAGACCTGGCCTATGTCCTTCCCATGTCCACGCCACGGAGAGGAGAGGGCCTTCGTAGGGCGAGAGGCTGGCCTCTGACTTCAGACTCCGTTGGAATCACCTCTCGGAACATCTGTGCGACCACAGCACATAAAAATGTTTTCTTCTGGCAGCCACTTTCACGAGGATGTAATAATATACGCATTGCACAAATAGTTTCTATTTTCGGTGGGTCAGCATTGCCAGAAAGCTGATCCTGACCAGGTGTGGAGGGAGTCGGCAGGGCTGTGAGCAAGGGGGTTGTGGGAACATGTCTGTGTGCCAAGGCCTCTGCCCAACCCCCACCCGCCTTCTTCTTCTGTCTGGTCCCTACCAGGCCTTTTCCTTGGGCTCAATTCCTGGCCACAACTTAGGAGTCAGTCTGCTCCTGGGGAGACGGGGCCTTCTCATCTTCCTTTCCCTTCCACCCCTCCCACCTGTTGTACCTTTGGGTGACCAATGGCTTCAGCCTTTCCTCTCCAAGAGGTTTGATTGGTCACGTGGCTTTACTGACCCGATGGCCCATAGCCCTTGGCCAACAGTCCTTGCCTCACTCTGTACTCTTGGTGCTCCTTAAAATGGGACTCTCCATGAGCAATCTGCCCTCTCCGTGGAGCTGGGAGGGAGGGAGATGCTAATTTGTGAGAGACTCCATTTGGGCCACACCCTCTCTGTGCAGCCCTTGGAACCATTTCCTGTGGGGGAGAGGGGACACAGTCCCAGGGTGTTGGCATCCAAAAATCCATTTTAAAAAGTGGACAAAAAAAAAAAGGTAGACAGAGCTCTATCCCTCCTCCGGAGTGAGCTCCTGACTCCCATTCAGGGAGTCGCAGGGTTTTGCTGAGGGCAGATAGTGTTCCTGCAAACTCTGAATCCCGGGTGGGAATTGTTAGACCGGAAATGGTGGGGAGCAGCTAACACTTTTAAGTTCATGGGCTCTCTCACTTCTGTTTTGTGAGGATCGAGATGCCCAGAATCATTGGCCAGAGAGCCTGGGACAGTTCTGGACCCCGTGCTGGGGGTCAGAGGCCAGTGGTTCTAGCACTCGCTTCCTCTTTTCCATTTGGCCAGTCCTCACCAAGCAGTCTTGCCAGAACAGACATCTTTGCTCTGCAGATTGTCTCATATCTTCAGAGGAGCCTTGCAAGGCCATGGGTTCTAGACTGGCACTACCCTTCTTGTAGCATCTTTGACAAGGTGCCCCATTTCTCCCAGCACTCCAGTGACCTGGGGCTTTTTGCCTTGTGAGCAGGTGCTGCCATCTGTGACAGACAGCTGTCATCCCATGATGTTCCCTCGCTGCACTTGGCAGTGACTTGGATTAGATCTGCTCCCCCTGTCAACTGCTAGGATCCTCCAAGACCCTCCTAGCCTGAAATATCCCCAGTTCTTTCTCATTTCTTGGATTCAAGGTGTTTAAACCTTTTAAGCAGGTGAACTCCAACTTGTACATCTCTCTCTCTCTCTCTCTCTCTCTCTCTCGTTCTCAACCATATCCTTTTCATTGATTTCAGAGAAGAAGGAAGAGGGAGAAAGAGAGAGAAACATCAATGATGAGAGAGAATCTCTGATCTGCTGCCTCCTGCACAGCTCCGACTGGAGCCTGCAACCCAGGCATGTGCCCTTGACGAGAATTGAACCTGGGGCCCTTACTCTGCAGGTCAACGCTCTATCCATTGAACCAAACTGGCTAGGGTTAGAGTCTTCAATTTTCATCAGAACAGACAAATCAGGGACCAGGGGCCAGAATTCTCTATATATAGTCAGCCCCCAATGGAGCTCACATTCCTCTCCTCCTAAGACTGCATTTCCTGCTAGAAACGAAACACCAGAGACTATTCACTGGACAGGAGTAAAGCTGTCCTGTTTCCGCTGACCAGTGTGAACCAGAGCTGAGCAGAATTGGCTAGCTCGAAATTTTAGAGAGGAAGGGAGAGGGAGGGAGAGAGAGAAACATCAATAATGAGAGCATCATCAATCGGCTGCCTCCTGCACGCTCTCTACTGAGGACTGAGCCCACAACACGGGCATGTGCCCCTGACTGGAATCGAACCCAGGACCCCTCAGTCTGCAGGCCGATGCTCTATCCACTGAGCCAAACTGGCTGGAGCTACATGGCCCTCTTAACCAGTTAACTGCCACGCGTCCAAGTGTCCCAAGCTGAATCCAGCCCAGCAGATGTGGCTGGGCCGGGCCAGAGCCGAGGGGACCTTCGCCTTCCTGAGCGAGTCACTGCAGCGGTTTCTGACCTGCTCACCAGTCATGGCTTCACTGATGAGCCTGAAGCTGCACGAACTGTCACAGCAGCCACATCACAGTCTTGTCGAGCTTGAAACAACCTAAAAAACCACAGGTCTCTTCACAGGCTACCCCCCCAACCCCCCCGCCTTTGTAGTCCGTGAGATTAATGTTTGAGCCCACGTATCTGGTTGGCATTTGCCCAGGTACATGTGATCAGCCTACTGAGGCAGGAAGGGCAAAGTCCTTGGAGTCTGGCAGAGCTTGACATCTTTAAGCCTCAGTATCCTTGGGTTTAAGATGGGTTCTTGTGGAGACTGAATGGAATAAGGTGGCTGCCACCTGGGAAGCACTCTGTGCGTGGGAGCTGCTGTGTTCAGGAGCTGACCCACGTTTCTGGTCCTGTAGTGGCCCCTCCGATCATCTCGACCCCTGATGCCATTGATAGGCTATGCCTTCCTCTGAGTCCTGCACAAACAGGTTGGCCCAGGGCCAGGTAGAAGCATCCCTGGGAACATGGTGTCTGACCCGTCGGCAGAGGCTCCATCTGAGCGGTCATCATCTAGCCCCACGCCTCAACCTCAGCCGTAGGATATTGATGGGAACCTGCCTCAGTCTGCGGTCTTTTAGAGAAATTCTCCGTTCTTCCAGCCCAGCGTCCTAGCAGTGCAGGCAATCAGAGGTCCCCAGGATTCGTAGCGCTCCCCTGCTGGCTCCTAGAGATAGCTGATTTTAGGTGTGCCATCCCATGATTATTAACAGTCCCATCAAAAATGGTCTAGATCAGTGTCAAACTAGTGTTTCATTCCCAGCTCTAATCTTCCTTCTTTCATGAGAGGGGTCGGCCTCTGCCCCCTCTAGTGTCCCGGCGCCTTTAAGTGCACTGTGACATTCCAAGGATGGCTGCGTCACAGATCAGACTGGTCTGGCCTGGAAGAGAAGGAGACGCGGTGAGAAGCCGCAGAGGCCGCCAACCTCTGAGCATGCCCACCCCCCCGAGATCTGCCCTGCTCTCCTGGTTCGGAAATAGTGAGCCTCTTTGCCTTTTCTTTGCTTTTTTGCTGATCTGAGTTCACGTTGAGCTCTAGCCTTCCTGATACTGTTCTCATGTTTTCCCTGTTTCTTGGTTACCTGTCTCAGCTTCCCTGTTTCATATCAGTAGTGGTAGTGGTAGCTGTGTGTTCTTACTTTCATTGCAGTAACAGTGAGCGCTGATGTGCTTGCAGTCTGCTAGGCACCCTGTGAGGTATAAAACCGGTAAAGCTCTGCTTAAGGAATTTATAATCTTGCGAGGGAAATAGCCTTTAAACATGGGAAGAAATCCACAGTTCATGAGTGTGCTCGCATCAGGAATCCTCCATTCCTTCTCCCCTCCCTGCCTCCTTTCCTTCTCTGGCTGAGACTTGAATCTCTGGGTCCCACCTCCTCCAAACCCCATCCGCAGTGTCCCTGGGATATACCCTAGGAATCTGAGTCCAGAGCCTCTTGCTCACATTCCCCATATCACTCAGCTGACAGAGCAGAAAGAAAGGGCTGGACCAGGCTCTGCCCTTGCGACCTCTGTGACATTGGACAGGTCACTTCGTCTCTCAGAGCCTAGACGTCTCCCATTTCTCAGGACTGTCAGGCCCTCCCTCTGTGACTGCCACCACAGGAGCGTCGGGGCGCAGCAGCAGCCTGGTTGGGCTCCCCGGTCTGGGGATGGGAAGCCTGTGCCTGTGCCTGTGTCTGAGCGCATCTTCTCCGGGCCCCGGACGAGCCAGTGCCTGGTGGGGTGTCACCTTTGCCCTCCCTGCTGGGGGCTTGATGGGGTGACTGTCCCTCCGAGGGTGGCGTCACAACTCTCCCTGGGAATGTGGACACTGGGCTTTTGCTGGCTGGGCTGTTTGTGACCTGAAACTTAGCTCATCCCGTGCTTGGGTCCCCCACTGGGGAGGTGGCCTTGCACCACCTGCAGCTGGCTCTGGAGC